AATATAAAACCGTGTAATCATTCACGTTTTGCACAGTTATTATTCAAATTGTTGCGTTTAGTGTAAGTCGTAGTTATATTTTTTGAAACATTAGATGTGTAGAGTTCATACTCGTCAATAATATACAAAACAAGTAATCTTTTTAAAATAGATTTTAACAATTACTACAACGAAAACAAAACAATTGCGATAACTTAATATTAATGAAAAAAAGGTGGGTAAGTGGATGTCGCTCTGCTGTACAGTAGGTTACAAGTGGGTCACTGTATAATGGATGCTTTTAAATTTGAATTCAATGATACAATATCATTGTATAAGAAAAACGATTCTGAGCGAAGACGGTAGTCAGTCTAGGTATAAGACATATTATATACATATCAGCTATGGTATTAAAAAAAAATTGACCTATAATAAATTCCAAATTAATCTTATCACATTATCACAATATCCATTAGGTACTTATAACACGTTATACATCAACATCAATAACAAACCCTGATACTATCATAGATATATAATAGTACACTTTAGAAGTTTCAAGTAGGTACCCACGAATAATATTATATAATCACAACAAAATAACTAGGTTTTTTAATATGTAATTTCGTCCAAATTTGAACATAAAATGACTAGGTATAAAAATAAACTGTGAATGTATATTTTTAAGATTTTTCGGTAAGAGAATTAACTACTTACGTGGAATCTTGTTTTAAATTTTCAATCCTTAGCTATAAAAACTGCACATTTTATAATTCATTAATTACGATGATTAATAATTTTCGAGATTTTGAAAAATTCTGTCAAAATTCCATGTTTAAATGCTTATAAAAAAAAATTGTGCTTATGCATTTTTAATATTTTTCAACTTATATTGTAACAATATACCAGGAGCCTTGTATTAAATTTTTACACTTTATGGCCCAACAGATAAAACTTTATTGATATTCATAGAAAAAAAAACTAAAAAAATTGAAAAATGAAAATATCCGTAAACAGCTCAAAAAGAGTCAAAATTGTATGGTGTATAGGAAATGCTAATATAAACATTCTGTGAAATTTTCATGTATCTATAGTTATTCGTTTATGAATAACAACAAAATAAGGAAATCGCTACATGAGAAATCGAGTGAACATCCAATGTGGTAAAAATTTGAATTTCAAACGCTCATAAAAATTTAATTTGACTGTCCGGTAGAGATTTTTTTATTGATAAAGGTAGACAAACTTATGAGTAATCTTGTATTACATTTTCATATCTTAGATTTAAAAAGAAAAGTTTTTACGAATTCTTAACTCAAAATAATTTGCTAATTTTCGTGATTTTTCCATATTTTGTCAATTTGAACTTTAAATGCTTATAAAAAAAAACTGTGACTACCGGGTGACTACCGGTGTGACTACCGTGTGACTACCGGTAACGATTTTTAATATTTTTCATCTGCTTTGAAACAATATTCTAGGAGCCTTCTATTAAATTTTCAAGTTTTTTTATCCAACAAATAAAATTTTATTGATATTTCTAGAAAAAAAACTAAAAAAAATGAAAAATGAAAATTTTTTTCCTAATTTGTCCTATAATTTGTCACAGATCTTTTGAAAGTTATTTGGAACTTTTTACTTTTGTCCCCCCCCTCCCCAAAGTACCAACTAGATTCACTTTCTTATCAAAAAACTGAAAATATTTGACTGTTGAAGAATGTCTAAGCATTTTTACTGTCCTAAAAGGTGACGACTAGAGTACGGATTAAGAAGGCATTTGCCTTTTTTTTCTATTGCTCTAATTTTTAGTCTAAAACGAAGCTATATGTCAGCTACAAATTCGATTTATACTACTCAGAATAAAATGCACAACATTTTATTTTGCTTTTTATGCGTTGTTTGTATATTTATTCTTTTTTGGCATTTTCGGTACATTTTATCAAAATGTGTCCTGAACAGACGTATTTGAAATGTTAATTTTTATTTGAAAACTTGAAAAATTTTTAATTGCCTAATGTTACTCCGATTTGTATTGGTAAAAAAAATCATTTTAAAACTATTATTTAATTTATTTTTTATAAATTATCATAATAATAGATTAAATTTAATTTACAGATTAATAATTGTGGAAGAAGGAAAAATCGAAAAGCAGGATTGTAAATAAACTTATTATAATACATTTTTTTTTTTAAAATCATTTAAATATTTAATAAACTAATAAATTATTTTAATACTTTTTTTGTAATACCTAGTAACTTTTTTAAAACCCATTTTTAATGCTTTTTTTGAAAGAATTAGACAGCTTTTTATTTCCTTTTTTTTAGTACTTTTCTTTAGTTTTTCATTGCTTTAAAATCCGTACTCTAGTGACACATTTTAATACTAATACATTCATGATTCATTGCTCCGCTCAGAATCTATAAAAAGTTGGATTTAAAGATTTGATAAAGATTTGTATTACTGCTGCTAAATCGGTTTTTTCCATTCCTATTAGACATTAATGTTAGTGAAAACAAATTCATATTTTTATCACACGAACACAATAATATAGGCTCTTCTGGGCACCTATTTTTAATTATCCGACTGTCGAAAATAATTAAGGATAGGTATTTATTACGAGTAATAATCGAGTAAACTATATTGTGTTAATGCTTAATGTATATTAGTCTTACTTGTCAATAATATCAGAGGCTAAAATATATTTTTTTTCGTACTACTCATTTTATTTTAAACTTGGAGCTACCTTGAGGGGCTTTGCCTCCCCTTCACCCACCAAAAAAAAGTGTATTGAATCTATACACATAAACATAGAGTAATCAATTTCTATTTTTCTTTTTCTACAGAGTATAGACTATATCGCAATAAAACGATTTATGTCCGTATACTGGTACGATTATTAATTACGCGTATTATACATAGTGTTTGAAAATTTCATGAAATTTAAAAAAATGAAATATTTCGTGAAATATTTCATGAAATATTTCAAAATATGTGAAATATTTCAGTATTTTAATAGATTTTGTTTTATTTTTAAATAAGTTTTATTTTTACATATAATTGTCATAAATTACCTTCATCACTATATGGTACCTGTATGTATACCTAACCTTTGGTATTATACATTTAAATTGGTATTCAAAATTTTTAAATATTTTAATGTTTAAATGATATAAGTAGGTATACAATATTATACATACCTAATACATGTATATTTTATACTTACTGAATTCTGACATTAGAATTTAGAACACTGAACATTGTGTTAAAAAAATAAATAAATTGTGTTTTTATTTGTCTTAAAAAAAATTTCAATGTTTCACGTTTTTGTGAAATATTTCACAACGTAGTGAAATATTTCAAAATGAAATATTTCATGAAATATTTCACATACTTCAAACACTAATTATACATAATATTACAATAAATGCCCAGAACTATAATAATATTATACTATATTATAGTCATTTATAAACAGTGAATTTCGAAATAAAAATCTCCGATTTTAGGAAAAAACTTTCCAGACTAGTCGACTACAACATTAGGGTACTCTAAATCACATGAAATTGATTGATTAAATGTTTTTTAAAAGCTAATTAATATAATTACCACATTGTTAATATTTAATTATAAATAAATACAAGGCTTAATAATACTTAACATTAAAAAAATGATTGTATCGTAAATAGTTTTCAAACATTAACAATAATATCATTTTGTTTTTGATTTGAAACAACAAACCTATGTTAATGGTTCTTTAAAAAAAATATAGGTAAATACATTCAGTAACTATTGTTTGATAATAATTATTGTATCGATAATTCGAAATATTTTTGTTTTATAATATTTTAAATATTGTATCTATAAGTAAAACTTGTAAAACCTACTCCTAATAAAACGTAATAATAATTATTAATATTTAAATGTATATTTCCCAATGAAACATGAAATAATTTTTCAATTAATGAAGAAAAAAAAGAGTGTAAAAAAGAGCTAGGTAGGTACCATATTTAATACAGGCCTTACACACTTTTTAATTTCGTACTCCACACTCAGTATTTCGTACTACACAAAGTGTGTCGTACTACACAAAATTTTAGTCCCTGAATAATATGAAAGTTTCAATGATCCCACAATAATATTTTACATTTTTCGATCTCTGAAAATTAAATCGCAGACTATTTTTTTTTTCTTCATAGTACTCGTACAGTTGTCGACATTCGGGGGGTGGGGGGGTACTTCCCACCTATATAGGTCAGTTACCTCATTATCACGACGGACGGTGATAGTCCGTGTTCAGTGTTCACGATAAGTAGTTTCCTTTATCTCGTGAGTTACCTAAAGTCTGTAGGTCTCCGATGCGCGGTTCGCTCCCGTAATTGTTTATACTCTTTGACGGCACGGCCGATAACGGACATTGTTTTCCTGTTTACAACTAATTTACCGTACCCACATTTGTCCGCTGATAACACGTCTGTTGGTCCGGACTCGAACATGCGGATTGCGAATGCTCGTTTAAAGCTCGTTCTTTCGACGTATTTTTGCGGTGCGGGGCTTAACGACGTTTCAACAAGGACTCGACAGTATTTTTTTACACGTCGTGTGCTCGGATTTTACGGCCGGTCTCGCGTTATTGTTGCACGCGATCGAAATATTTAATCTCTGCACGTTATTGTGTGGCCACGTCCGCTCGCCTCAGGAAAACTATGGGCGAATTTTGAACGATCGTTGCTAATCGAGTACCAATACAATATAACTTCACGTGAGTTTAATAATATTTACTCACACCGTTTGTATTCGATTTCGCACAAGTGCCAATACGACAAATGTTCGTATCAGCCGTACATGTGCGTTGCGATATCTCATTCGATTTTGTTTTATTAAATATGTTGTGTGGCTGCTGTGTTTGATGCCAATCGATCGAGTCATAGGATACTTCCAGATGGAAATCATCGTGGTCGTTGAGTTTTTCGAATATTAATTTATGTATTTTTCTTGTTCGATTTCAGAGTCCATTGGTCGTCATGAATCTAGACACACCTATAGAGACGGTGGTCCAGCAGCTTGCCAACGCTGTGGATCTGACCATGGACCCGTCTATGTCACAAGAAAAACGTCACGAAGCCTACCGCTTGTGCGATAGTTTTAAAAATGAGTTTCCACTGTGCGTACAATGTCAGTGCGCTTTGTATTTCACTAGCGACGGCTCGCAGTACACCGATATTGTGCGACATTTCGGCCTGCAACTCATGGAACATTGCATTAAATTTCGCTGGTATCAAATGGTACAGGAAGACAAATTGCTCATTTTTTCTACAATAATGAGCCTGGTTAATTCTGCTTCACCAGCGCTACAGATCAACTATCTGAAAGATGCTCTTGCCAGAGTTGTTGTGGAAATGATCAAAAGGGAATGGCCACAACATTGGCCTGGGATGTTAAATGAATTAGAATATGCTACAACATTGGGCTGTTGTCAAACAGAAACTGTTATGCTAATATTTTTGAGGTTAATTGAAGATGTTGTCTTATTGCAAACCGTTGACAATGCGGCCAGGCGACGAGATATTAGTAAAGAAATTCAAATGAGTATGTCTAAAATTTTTCCATTCTTTATAAATGTGATTGATAATTATTGTAGACAATATTTAGAATTCTTAAGTAGAAATGAACAAAATGCGGCAAATGCACTTGTCCGGGTAATACAGCTTGCGTTGGCTAATATTGGAGAATTATTTGAGTTCATTCAACTGTCACATGTGAATTTTAAAGATTGTTACATAATCACTGTCTTATGTTCTTTATTAGACCATTTTAATTTTAGACAGTCTGCTGTTGATTGTTTACTCATATTACTTTCAAGAAAATGTAAAAACGAAGAAAAAGAATGTGTTGTACAGTTGCTTGATCAACCTTTACAACAAATATATTTGGTAGTACACAATGCAATCAGTCGTCTAGAAGCGAATGAAGAAAATAATATATTTTTAAAAACGTTATCCAAAGTGGTGTCCATGTTGAGTTATGTGTTATGCGCTTTCTGGAAAGATAATAAATTGCATAATTTTAACGTTGAAAAATCAGAAAAAATACTTTTTTGTTATGTTGACTTATTACAAGTTTGTCTGTTTCATGATTCATTGAATGTCATTACAAATATTAATCAAGCCTGGTGTATATTATTTAAAAATCCTGAAATCAGTAAGAATATTTTACTAAAACAAAATTACATTCCAAAATGGTTTATGTTAGTGTCAAAAAAATTAATTAAGATAGATTACAAAAACTTAGATCCATTCACCTTACTTGATTTTACAGATGAAGAAAGCTATAACACTGTTTTTTATCACACCCGATCGGAAATTGTTGAAACAATCAGATGTGCTTCTGCTATTGAAAATACTATGATGTTTTCAGTTACAGAAAACTTACTTAAGACGTGCATGGAAAAAACATCAATAAGAATGAAAGTGGTTCCTTTATGTGAACAAGATTCAGCTGAGTTTCTAGAATGGGAAGTAATGGTGTTAATATTAGATGGTGTCATGAGTAAATTATCTTTAACTCTGGATTCTGAAATCGTTACTAGAGGTTTGAGGCTAATTGAATTGTGTTTACAATTTGATACGAGAGATCCATTAATATTGTCATTCCTTCTTTCGTCTATATCTGCATTGTTTGTGTTTCTAACTTCAACATCTTGGCCTTCAGAATATCTTCATGTTACACTTAATAAAATGTGTGAATATCTAATACTTGAGTGTCATCCGGATGATCAATTGTGTGTTCCAATCAAAGATTTGAAATTTCATTCTGCTTCTTTGTTCATAAAACTAAGTATTAAATATCCAAATCTCTTGCTGCCAGTTTTTGATAAGTTGTGTTCGTTAAGTGATCAACTTTTATCAAAAACCAGTAAAACTGGTGATAATCTCGCAGTATGTTTACGTTTGCAAGAAACACTTTTAGTGCTAAATAATCATGTGCCAGATTTTTATAAGCAAACTCAACTAATTAAACACATTTTAGAACCTTGTCAATTAATGTGGCAAAAAGTACAAAGTATTGTATCTGGGCCACCTGAAGGATTATTAGCATATTTAGGCCTCGACAGGCCGCCAGTTGATTTTGAATCTGATCCGTGTCTGGAAAATCGAAACCATCTATCTCATTGTATCAATGTATTAGCATGTGTTATGGCTAGAAGCAACACAAGTTCAAACTTATCAAAAATTCCAAACGTTTCACCAGTTACTGAACATGTTTTATTACTTCTTCCAAATGTGTTTTTAATAATAAAAAATCTTAACTCTTTATGTTCGGATAATGTAAAAAAAATGATGCATCCTAGTTATACTTCAGTCTTGGAGATATTCCCTCAAGAACGAGAGGCCTTACTCGGAAAGAACATTGTGTCTGAGAAAAATGACCCGTTTCAGAATTTTAGACAAAAACCAAAACCTGATCCGGTGTATAAGATAAAACTAGCAATTTTAAATGCTTACGAAGGCTGTTTAAATGTTTTGGGAAAATCGTGTCTATTACTTGGAGACCAATTTTATGCTCTTCAAAATTTTGCTCCAAGTTTTGAAGCAACCATAATGAGTGATGCCGATTCTTTGCCACATGTACGCATTAGAACTGTTATGAAGAATTTTATTAAACCTTTCCTCATCAACTGTTCAAGTAAATATTATGATACCGTTCTTATTCCTATTCTAAATTCCTTTTTAGCTCATATGTTAATACGCCTGAGCATTACTTGGAAGAATATACCAGAACGTGAAGAATACGATAATAAAGATGGTGATTCTGAAGAGCTCTTGGAAGATATGATGATTAGGTTATTAACTAGAGAGTATCTAGATTTAGTACGATCAAGTTTAACTAGTTCTAATGAATCAAAAACAAGCCCTCATGGTAGTGTGGAAGAAATTCCTAATAGTGATTTATCTGAATTAGGTATAAAACTATTACGAAATGAACAGTCTAGGCACTTGATTGTCGAAAGTATTTTAAATGGTTTGTCGTGGAATACTTCTATAAGTCAATTTTGGAAAACTTGTCAAATATTCCAATGGGATAATCGGCCAGTCTCGCATCCCTGGTGTGATAGCCAGTCTAGTTTTAAAGCAACGTCCTTATCTCAAATTGTTGTAAGACATTTGGCTACCGAGGATGAAAGAACTGCTATGACAATTGCACCTGACTTGTTGATAGCCGTTCTAGAAAGTCTTCACTGGTTTGGTCATCATGATTCTAATATGGGTCCCCTTTTAGCTACATGCCTTAACATATATGAAACTTATCGTAGTAAAAATAATCAGTTATTAGAAGTGTTAAAAAAATTACCTGAAATCAACTTGGAAACATTGGAGCGTTTCGATAAGTGGGTGATGAGCGAGGACCCATTAAACAACAAAGTGAACAAAGGTAAACGAGAAATGTTAAAGAAGATATTGGCCGGCTGTATTGGAAAAGATGTGAGCCAAACTCATAAATGCAAAGCTGAGCTCAGAGACTTGCCCAGGGTTCTCGTCCCTAAGATTTGTACAACAGACTTGTTAGAAAATGGTGATGACTTGAATATAAATAAATTACAAGAATACAAGTTGTAGGATTATATTTAAAACAAATCATTTTTGTTGTTATTGTTTTATTTATTCTTTTTTTTTCTTTTTATTATTAACTAATGAAACGCCTTTGATGAGGTTATACGGTATAGACTATTTGTAAAATTATAGTATTACGCATTAGTATATTTGTGTGTGTGTGTGTGTAATGTGTATGTAATTGATCATTGGATTTTTAAATTGTGTAAAATGCATGTTTAATATTATTTTTTGTATATAATACGGGCATTTGAATTGAATTCTCGCCGTACTCTTTGCAAAATTTAAAACAAATAGTACTTTTATGGATAATATTATATATTTATACCTCTTTCACGTCTGCCTAAATGTTTGTTAATAATTATTTTATAAATATCATAATAAATTAAGATTACATATTGAAATTAATTATTTTCTGAAGTTTTTTAATATAATCAAGTACAGACTTACTGTTAAAGTTATCTATCGACCATAATTTAACATGTGGTCCACCCATATGTCCTCAAATAAAGCCAGAGTTAATTTTTTACATAATACGGTACAGTGCTACATTCCTGGGATGATAAGGGATAGCATTTAAAACTATTGCAGAACAAATATTTAAATACTGATTTAATTTTTTTTTAAATCATATTAATACATTTTGTTTTGTTTTTTTACAATGTATTATTATGAAAATTTGTAATATTGTATTTAAAATTATTTTTTCTATCAATAACAATATATATTAATATTATAACCGGTTTGTTCAAATTTAATGTACTTTACAGTGCATTATAAGTGTAATAAGATAAAACCAAATTTTATAACGCAGTAGACAAGTTTGACAAGGCAGAACGACTTTTCTCCCATAGATGTTTCATAACTGTAGACATGTTAAGTGTAATTAATGTAATAATAACTAACAATCAAAAGCTATATACCGATTCCAATTTATTTCTTAAAATCAGCCATCCTTATGCTTTACTTCCAAAATAATTCTAGATTGTCAAATTTAGGCGACAATTCTTTGTGATACACCATTCTACAATATCATTATCATCTATACAAATTGAATAGAATATGAATAAACCATATAAATTACATACAATTTAACATAGTATTAGTAATATAGGCATCCAGCAACAGTCTAATAACGTATTACAGACATTACCTCTAAAATGTTTGAAATTTACTACAACATTAAAAATGTTGCCATGAATATAGATTTTTTTTATCGCCTATAAATTATATGACCTTAGTTTTTATATGGTTTACTTTTAGTGATTATTTTGTATGAATCATTCACAGTGAGCAAAATTAACACTTACAACTCCACGTGTGGTACATTTTTATGATTTTGTGTTTACACTGTTCATTTTTCATTCTCAGAGAATGATTTGTCTCGAATGTTCGTCAAAAGTGGAGCTTATAAAATCAGTATTTTTGTATATATTAAGATTCAGCTTACACCTCAATTTTATTTTATATTTTCAGGTTATTTATAATTAAAATATATTAAATGATGATGTATTATCATAATTATTCAAGTGTAAGAAAAATCAGGTAATCAGTGTACATAAACATAAAAAAAAAACAATTTTGTAACAAAATTTAAAAATGAAAATCTTTATTTACCTTTATGGTAATTTATTTTAAACACTATTTTTAATCCATAGGTATTGTATATTACAGTAAACAATTAACCAAATAGTTTCATTGTGCTCACAAAAAAACTTGATTTATTATAAAAAATTCAGAAGATAGATATTTTAAAAATAATAATAATTATTTTTATTGTTGTGGCTTAGTCAATATTAAAACAGCACTTGGTACCAAACCTAAAAAAGATAAACAATGATAAATTAGTTATAAACAACTATGGATGCATAAAAATATTTTTTTATTTTCCAGTTTTAAGATCAAATGTACTTTACCACCTCAATGTTTTTTTTTTTGTTTTGGAACTTAAATTAATGAGTTAAGAACAATGGTTGTGCATTGAACAATGAGTTTGTAGCTCAGACTTAGTTTCAGAGTTAAAGTGATTTGAATTTCCAGATTTGTTCGCATTCGGGATACATACAATTGTTAATTAAAATATAACAAGTAGTCTGTGTTCCTATACTTAGTGGCTCTGGTCGAGGAAAATCGTATAATTTGAAACTAAGTCCAAGCGATTTCAAAATCGTTTTCTGCACCAAAAGCTACATATAAAGAAGAACTTTTTTTTTTTTGGTATAGCGAGGGTTGTAAAGTGTATTTTAGCCGATTTTTATTTATAATTTTATTGAAAGCATAATTTAATTTATAAATTGTTATATCATAAATTCATAACAATTGAGCCTTGGACTAATAAAATATGGTATAATTTTAATATTACCTAATTGATCAAGTGGTTTTTCATAATCATCATTAGTAAAAACTTTCCTTGGAAAACTAGTCATGAGACAGAAGGGAGCATCCCCATCAGAACGGTTTAGTTCAATATAAACTCTTACAGCAGCCATCATTTCTTTAACATTAAATGTTTGAACAATTGTTTGACCATTTGTAAGACGAATCTAAATACAAATAAATATTAATTAAAATTAAAACTGTAATAATTAGAAAAAATATGATTATAAATCCAATTAATAAGATAATTAAGTAAGATATTACTTTGTATAATTATTTATTAAGGGCAATTGCAAAAAAGTCTGTATTTGGTATAACCCATGACTAAATAAATAGGTATGATTACAAAAAAACAGTTTTTATCCTGGTTTGCGCATCTCCCTACTATTCTACACACAAAACCATTGCTCATAGTTCTCTGCATTTCATTGGTCGGCAATGTCAATAGGATATTCTAGAAGCGGAGAACTACGAGATAGACGTGGCAAGGGTTGTTGCGTATAATAAAGCTATGATCATACTTATTTATTTAGTGATGGTATTACCATTACTGGTCTTTCCAGTAAACAGGCATATTAAGGGGACGTTAATGACATTTGTTGTCTTGCAAGCGCGTAACATAGCAACTTTTACGCTCAGCAGAACACATTTATCTCCATTAGTTTAAAATTTAGAGAGAATTGAGCACTTATAAAATTTAAAGGTAAAACTATTATCTAGACAACGATGTAGGCTTTTTATTATTTTTTAATTTTAAAACAAGTTATGTGTATTTTAAAATTGCAAACTGGTTGTATATCTTAAAGTATTCATAAGTCGCTTTAAAATTTAAATATAATAAAAAGCCATTGTTTATATAATAGTCTCACCTTTTAATTTTATAAGAGCTCAATTTGCTCTAATTTTTAAATTAACGGAGATAAATATGTTCTGCTGAGGGTAAAAGTTGTCATGTTACGCGCTTGTAAGACGGAGACAACAAATGTCACTGTAACGTCCCCTTAATAATGTGTCCCGGTAATAATATCAAAGTTTCATAGAAATAAAATGTACTTAATAAATATTAACCAATATTTTACTCCATGTAAAGCTCAAAAACATACTTTATATACTAATTAATATATTTTTAATAGAACAACTAATGGATTGTCAATTGAATGTAATAAAAGCATGTTAACCTGTAATTTTGTTTCTGTATAATCCTTTGTTTGTTTTTGAGGACTAACAGCTACTGGTAAAACTGGTTTTGGTTGTTCTTCTGCTGGAGCTTGACCATACAATTTTTTCCTAGCTAATTTATCTGCTTCTATTTGAGCTTTTACTCGATCACGAGCAACTTTTTCTTCTTGTTTTTCACGTTTTCTTTCATCCATAATTTTTTTTATGTTTTCATCTTCAAGCCTAAACAAAACAAAATAATTTTTAATGAATAAAACAAGACATTTTTATCACACAAATCATTTTACTTTTTTTTAGCAGCAGCCATCTCTTTTCCAGAGCGAATTCTAATTTTTTCTCTTTCTAGTTCTTCTTCTTTTTCTTTGGCTTCGCGTTCCTTACGCTTTTCCTTCAAACGTTCTTCCAATTTTTTCATTTGTTCTTTTTTTTCATCTTCAGTTAACGGTTTCTTTTCTTCTGTTGATTCTGCGAAATTGCTATGGCCTGATTTCATGGCATGATATTCTAGTGCAGTAGTATCAGCAAATAATTTGTTACAGCTAGAAACATAATTTTCATTATTGGTTGTAACTACAAATCACCTTCTAATAAAAATAATTGAAATTCATTAGGAACCAGTGGCGTATCTAGGGTCATATCACCCCCCCCCTCCCCCACACACACATACACACACACACATCACCAACAGGAGACAAAATTGTGTACACAATACAACATGTCAACATATAATATGAATATACCTATGTGTATACTGAATATGTCCATAAAAATGGTAATATCCCTCTTGTGAAAAAAACCCAGATGAGCTACTGGTAGGGACCTAATTGATTTGATATCATAAAATACAAACTACAAATTAAGATGTACCTATCCAAATTTATGTTTAAAACTATAAATCCGAGAAATTCTAATTAATTATCTTACTCTTCACATTTGTATGATTTAGCTACAGTTGCAGATGAGGTATTAGTTTCTGACTTGGTGTATGAAGTAGAACCTTCTTGAGAAGTTGATGGTCCCATGTCATCATCATTGTGTGCCAATAACCTTATAGATAAATAATATAATTATGTTACTATGATATGTGCAAAAGAAGTACAATTAAAGAAAAACAATAATAATTAAGAATACAATATTTATGGGAATCTGTTATTTATTTAAGTAGAAATGCTGCCGAATACATTAGAAATACAGCCGTGTGTATTAGTATAATGCCGGTACAGTCTACACAAATTCATAGTTCTTACCACTCCATCGCAGGTTCGACACCTTGATTTCCTGTCATTGAAACGCTCTTTTCGCTGTAACAAAAAACGATATTTTAACAACAATTTTCGATCAGATGAATACAACTCATGAGGGTATTGCAATTGTGTAGACGTACGCTTTTTCTTTCTGGAAACCCATGTCAATGAGAATCTGAACGGTTTCCTGAGACGTCATGATTCAATGAGTTGTTCACGGCAGGACTTTAATAAAACAGTAAAAAAGTGATCACGAGTGCTTTCAACCTAGTTTTTATGCAATCAGAATGACAATTGATATTTAAAACATTTTTATCTTATGACTTTTAATAGAAAATTATTAAAGTGAAGTCCATCGGGATTCAGTCGAAGTTTTGTGTTTCGGTAGTCCGTTCAGATAAAGCCGAAATCGGATATTCGGTATTTTTTCCGACAGTACCTTCATACTTGTCGATATTATTGCCACCGGGCGGAGAATAGATTTAATCGACAATGCCACCAAAGATAACGTAAAGTCCCGAACTGATAATGATTTGAAACTGTTTGTTTACATTTTTTGATACGCGATCCATAGATAATACCATATTGTTCTGTGATAATACGCAAACTACAGAAACGTGAATGTTGCGATCTTAGACCATAGTAATAAATAATATGATCTAGAGTCGTGATGGAAGTTTTTTTTTGTGCGGGACATCGTCGAGATGCTCGGAATAAATGTAATATTCGCTCGTACAGAGGATCTGTGCTTTTCAACGACATCAGAAAAATACACATTGATCGTCGGTGCATCATTTAAAGCATGGTCTAAGATATACATACAACCGCCATTTAAAGTAATTTAGCAAAATATGGGATAGGTATCAACTACTTAGTTCTTACGCCGAGTGCTCCGAAAAACGAAACTTTTTGGATTTTGCCGAAAATTACGTACGTTTTTTATAATACAGTTTAAGTGACCCGAAATGCCTGATTATAACATTTATTTTGTTTGGTCTTTACCAATTAATTATGTCCGTATGGAGAAAAATACACAGAACTCGTACGAATGTGTAGTGCGATATACAGTGTACTCTCGATTATGCGCGGTCTTCTGCAGAACGAACAATGCACAAGATCAAATGCAACTAACGCACAACCCTCGTTATCGGTTAACCCAAAAAATAAAAGTGGTTCTTGTTTAGTTTTCCTTGAATACTACATAATATTATACAACATTACTTTTTAATAATTTTATCATTGAATTTGGCAGATTATCAACGCCAAACCACCCTATAGTTGAGAGTATACTGTATAACAAATATTTTACTTCTGACAATTAGACCAGAAGTTATAATAACCGACTACAGAACTGCTCTAAAGAACTATATCTTCAAAATGTTCAGAAGTTCAATTTGAATACAGCTGGTTTCACTTATAATTAAAAATTTTTTTTTGTTATACAGGCGGGAGAAATTCAAGAGTTATAATTATATAGAGTATATAAATAACAATCTATTTACTGTGAAAACTGTAAGGCTCTTCATGTGCCTTCCATTATTATCTGCCCAAAACATGGAAAATGGTTTTACAATAATAATGGGACATGCTCGAAATTACAAAGTTAATTTGGACAAATTATTTGCCTACTACCAAAGGTAAGATATTATTTAAATAATTATATATAATATATAATACAAAAAAAATTTTAAAATACAATTATTTAAAATAAACCATTTGAAAAATATATAAATTCAAAATTCAAAATTTAAACCTATATAATTATAAATATTGGTTAAGAATATTACTGGAACATACATTCTTTTGTCCATGGACAATCTCATAGTACAAAAATATAGAGCAGTTTCACAGTTTGTTAAAATCAAAGTTTGTAATCGATAACCCGAAATTATGGTAATTTTTAGGTAAAAGAAGAATTTGTTTAGTTATTGAAATAGTTTTTAATTTTAATAAAAAGTATTTTATTGATTTCAGAACATTTGACTCAATCAAACAAAAAACATCTTGATACTGTAACCGTACTGAGCATATAACCAAATGCATATAAGACAATTCCAGACTTGCAAAATAAATACGGTTTCAGATAAATTACGTTTGAGCCAAATAACCATTTGGACATTCCTTCTACTTTGCTCTGATGTAACTGCATGATTCGTTAAGTATGAACAAAACCAGAGAAAATGGCAAAAATTATGAATGTAGAAATGCAGAATAGCCACAGATTAGTGTACTGCCACATGATTCAGAGGAAAATATGTCAGAAACCTAACAGTTTATGTCCTATATACCGTTATACCAGGTAACTTTTCAACTCATTTTCCATTCATATCTAAAAGTCTATTATTATTATTATTTTATATAGAACAATTGATATTGTAAATCAGTATAAATATATGAATATTATCATTAATCTCAAAAATTAACATATTTCATTCAAATATTTATTTAATCTAGTTAACATTAACAGTTAAATATGTAATATACTACTCATATACAAATAATTTTAAGAATTTTAATGCTATTAAACTAACTAGATATAGAGAATAATTCAAATTTTATGTTTACATTTTTACGTTATTGTTAAATTTACTTTGTACAACAAATTATTAAATGTGGTTATTTTTCATTCTACATAACAATGAGATAATACACAACTCACAGTTCAAATAATTCATAAGAAATCGGATAATCACCATTATCATTATTATAAGGCTATGTTTCTTTATTAACATAAGCAATAAAAATTAATTATTTCCATGAAGTGCAGCCACAGTATATAATTTAATGATATAAATCAGGTGTATCAGAGTCACCCCAATTTGCGGTACATTAAAATATATATTATAATGTATATTGCATAATACAAATATACAGTTACTAACCATCTGGTTAAAATGTAATATATTTAAATATTACAGACACTTATCATAAAATATCAAAAAAAAAATTGTGATGTCCCCTATCCACAAAAAATAATAAATCAAACCCTAAAGCCACCAGTTGCCACTGATATTAACATTAAGTGATTGATGATTTAAGTATTTTTAGTACTCATAATTAAAGCATTTTCAATAGACTACTATTTATAATAATTATATTAGACAAAATAGAAAAGATTCCAGTTCTGTGTAGTGGTGAAGTATAAAACTAAGTTAAACCTCAGGAGCCCCCTACCTCTTTAAATGTGGCACTAGACATCGCTAATTAATATATATTATCCGTCTTACTTAATGATGTCAAATATTGTAAGCGATTAGAATAACCTATCAATCTAACAAATATTTTAAAACTGTGTTATGACAGGAACATACGCACAGCCGTCATAAAGTCATTCTCCAAAATATGAGATTTCATCATCTTGCACAACACTGCATGATTGAAAATTACAAATGTTTTTTATAATGCAATTTTATGTATAGTAGCTTGTATCAGGAATACCTAATAATAACATTTATTTATTTTTCTTTTGTTTAGCCTTTACCAATTATTTATGTATTTATGGAGAAAAATACCCAGAACCCGTTAAAATGTTTATTTCAAAATATAAAAATATTTTATTTACGACAATTAGACCAGAAGAATAACCAAATACAGAACTTCTCAAAAAGACCATATTTATTCAAAATTTCATGAAGTTCAATTTTAATACAGCTGGTTTCACTATATACAAAAACAAAGGTAAAGGTAAATTAATATTTAAAAATATATATTTATCACAATATTTTTTTTTTATTGGCTGCGTGGGAGCAATTCAAGAGTTATAATTCTAGAGTGTATATAAATAAAATATAAGTAGTTCAAATTATTCATAAGAAATTGGAACATCATCGTTATCATTATAAGGCTATATTTCTTTTTTCTATACTTCTTACCCTAATTTATGGTTCATATCTCTTTTAGATTCTGAGCGGACCGATGAATGTATTGGTTTTACAATGATGTGTGTTTTTATATTTTTATATTTTTTTATTTTTTTTTTGTGTCTGTCATCACGTTTTAGGACAGTAAAAGTGCTTGGATTTTCTTCATCAGTAGCTTTTCGGATAGGAAGGTGAATCTAGTTGGTACTTTGGGGGGTTCAACAGTATAAATTTCCCAGTAGTTTTCACAAGCGCCAGGAAAAACAACATAAAAATTAAGGAAAAACGGGAATTTTTACACAAAATTGGTTTTCCAAAAAATCGATTTTGGTTATTGGTGTAACTCTAAAACGAATGAACGTATATACATGAAATTTTCACTGGTTGTTTATATTTGCATTTTCTATACACGATAACATTTTCAAAATATTTTGATTTATTTTGAACTGTTTAGGGACATTTTCATTTTCCTTTTTTTTAGTTTTTTTTCTAAAAATATCAATAAAATTGTATTTGTTGGTTGCAAAAGCTTGAAAATTTAATAGAAGGCTCCTAATATATTGTTTCAAAGGCAGATGAAAAATATTAAAAATCCTTAGTCACAATTTTTTTTTATAAGCATTTAAAGTTCAAAAATTGACAGAATACGTAAAAATCACGAAAATTAGCAAATTATTTTGAGTTAAGAATTCGTAAAAATTTTTCTTTTTAAATCTTAGATTTGAAAATGAAACACAAGATTCCTTATAAGATTATCTACCTTTATCAAAAAAAAATTTCTTTAAGAAAGTCAAATTAAATTTTTAGGAGCGTTTGAAATTCAAATTTTTACAACATTGGATATTCACTCGATTACTCATGTAGCGATTTCCTTATTTTGTTGCAATTCAAAAACGAACAACTGTAGATACATGAAAATTTCACTGAATGTTTAAATTAGCATTTTCTATACACTATACAATTTTGAAAATATTTTGACTCTTTTTGAGCTGTTTATGGACATTTACAGCTTGCAATTTTTTTAGTTTTTTTTTCTATAAATATCAATAAAGTTTTATCTAAAACTAAAAAGTGTAAAAATTTAATACAAGGCTCCTGATATATTGTTACAATAGCAGTTGAAAAATATTAAAAATACATAGTCACAGTTTTTTTTTATAAGCATTTAAAGATCAAATTTTGACAAAATGTATCAAAATCTCGAAAATTATCAATCATTGTAATTAATAAATTATAAAATGTTCAGTTTTTATAGCTAAGGATTACAAATTCAACACAAAGTTTCTCATAAATAGTTCATACTATAACCAAAAAATCTAAAAAATATATGAACACACTT